TATTGCTTTATTTCTTCAGCTTGCGGAATTAAATTGCTATAAGAGATATTGCTATTGTAATCCACATATTAAGGAAAGAAAAGGGATATTGACAATTTTTTCATTAATGACCCTTGTCAATACTTGACTCCATCCACTCCATCTCCCCACTACTTCCATCACTGGTTGGAGATTTTTTTATTAACCATAGTAAACTAAAGTTATTGATGGGGAGGCATCAGATACCTCAGGTATGTTGTAGGTAGGATGAGAGTTGGGGAGGGCCATGAATAATGTGAAAACTACTGCAGCGGAAAAAAAATGTTCCCTAAAACATGGGGCTAGATAATGATAATGGCTACTTGTATGAGAGATTCTATGATGCTTCATTCTTTGCTAAGAACCATATTATTTATCCCTTACAGCAATCACACAAGACAAGTAAAATATCATCCCCATTTTATAGATGAGAAAATTTGAGATTGGAGAGGTTGGATACTTGCTCCCAGTCGCTGCTACCAAGTAGCAGAACCTTGGTAAGTCCCTGCATTTAACTTGTACCCAGTACTTCTACTCTCAGAAGCCTACAATGCCCAGTGGGGTTTTCTTGAGCTCATAAATACATTTTTCTTCTAATACTACAGTCATTTAAACTTTTAACATCATAAAATATTTAAATATCTTTTCTATCTGGCTTTAATTGTGGATCCTGCATGTCTTCACCATAAAAACCACAGCGATATTTAAAATAAGACCCAAATGAATTTTCCATATTTAACATGGCACTTTCTTGTGGTCATAATTTATAGTCATTCTACATGGTTGAAGATATAATATAGTATTAATAAATATGATAAATTACATGTGCTGGAATAAATGTCCATTACTTTCTGCTATCTAGAGTACTGTAAAAACAGCATGAAGTTTTCCATGGGGTTAAGTTAGACAACATTCTTTGGACGCTCTACTCCCTCTTCATCACTCTTCACATCTCTATGGAGTAACCCTACTGCCCTGTCTCAAAACTCAACCCTTTCCAAAATCATACACAATTCCATCCCATTTGTATGCTTTACGCTTATTTTGTCTGTGCCTGTAGAATCCTACCAAGATCTCACCCCTTCATGTTTTTCATAAATCTGCAGAAGATAAGAATAAGGCACAGATAGAGAATAAGAAACAGGTGGCCCAAGAATCATCATTACATTGCCCCTCAAGTTCACAACAGATATACAGTGTTATTCAAAGATAGTAAAGACTGTATTTTCCTCATTTAAACACATTAGATCAATTCTTAGCCTCTCTTTAATACTTGGTCACAGGTAACTTCCTTATTTTTCATGTCATTCCACTTTGCAGCACAAGCTTTATCACATGGCACTAAAAAAATCAGTTGTTTTATGGGAAAAACAGAGAGTCTCTAGGTCAAGTATGCATTTCACAGAATGTTAATCTCTAGCTAAATAACTGTATTAAACTCAAACAAGATAATCCTATTAAAGTATAGCAAAATATTTAGATTATATTTATTCATTACATTTATTATAAGAAACCCAAACATACATGTAGTAATTCACAAAATATGCACATCAGTAGGCCTCCATGTTCTTTATGAGTTATAGACTATTCTGCGAGTTTAAAAAAATTATTTTAGATTAATTTTAAAAATTATATTCAGACAGTTAAATTCTACTCAAGGCTATGATGTCAATCCATGATGAAAAGAAAAAAATCTTTAACTTCTTGTCCTTGAGTAGTGTCAGATCCTTAAGAATACAGAGCTCAGAGACTACAGGTAGAACATAAGTAATGTTACCATTGATACTACCAGTAATTAAAACTTTATTGAATCCTTACTGTGTTCAAGGCACTCTGACAGTGTGCAAAAGAGCAAAACATAAAATTACAATAATTATATATGACAAAAACTTGTTTTACACCTTTGTTTTTTGGGGAGGTGATGAGAAATCTTGTTCCTCTACTGGTTCTAATCACTGATACAGAAAAGGCAAATTTTCAAATACGAACACACTGTTTTATATCCACCATTGTCATATCCTAATTCAAAAGCTATTACTAACAGAACTGGGTTCTACCTTTTTCCTCCCACCCTCTCCTACACCCAGTTTGTAAGATTCCAGAGAGTAACTACCAATTCAGGAGACAATTGTATATTTTGGAACAGTTCCTGCTAGATTTTCTCAGCTCTGCCACTCAAGAACTGAGCAATTTCAGCCTTTTACTGAAATTCTTGAAGCCTCAGATTCCATTTACAGAAGGTACATAATAAAACTTAACTTACCCACTCACTTGTTATGATTAAATGACACAGTACATAAGTCCTTTGCCAAACATGAAGTACCATAAAAAGGTGTTATGTAATTATGCTATGCTGTAAGAAGCACAGAATGTAACAACCACTTCAAAATAATTCTCCCATTGATCTGCTGTGGGGCCTAAAATATCTGTCACTTTCTTCACTCCTTTGATTTAAAGCACTAGGTCTCAAGGAGATCCCTGGTACATTTTAAACACATCTCATGGTATAATATATTAAATAAGTGTCATAAAATCCTATCAAGATAACTAGTTGTGATGAGTCACAGTGGAAAACATTTATTATTGGCAATAAGAAGAAAAAACAATAAAAAAAACAATAAAAAGAAAACCTACTGATACATGAACAACATGAACTTCACAAATATGCTGAAAGATACAAAAATTTTTACTATATGATTCAATTTTCATGAAATTCTTTAACATGTACAACTAAGAAGGGTGCGAGGGAAATTTCTGGAGTAATGACAGCGTTCTGTGTCGTCGGTGGTGTGGATTACATGGATGCATATATTTTTTAAAACTGATTTAAAGGAACATGTAGGATCTGAGGATTTCACTGTATGTAAATTAAATTTCAATTTTGAAAAATGACCATCTAAATATTATTGTGGTTTTAAAAATAGTTCTTACATTTTATGGATGCGTACTGAAATGTTTTTAGGGCAAAAGATATATGTAATTCTTGGGATTTACTAAAAAAATGGGGAGGGGATGCTGATAAAAAATGGTGAGTGGCTGGCCATATGTATGGAGCTTGATTGGCCATGTATTGAAAAATGGTGGGAACTGGTGATATTTACTTGAGAGTCTTTTATTCTCTGTACTTTTGTATCTGTTTGAACATTTTCCATAATAAAAGAGTTAGGGGTCATCTGGGTTCATCTCATTTACCAAAGAAATCTGTGAACTGGAGGACATGACTTGTTCAAACTCTCATTCAGACAGCAAAACGGCTCCCAAGTTTAACCTTGTTTCCCAAAGTAACAAAATTAAGAGCATTCTGGAAAGGCTTTTTTTTTTTTTTAAGGCAGACCCATAATGCAAAAACTAGTTTAAGCAATATACATACTTGCTTCTTCTCCCTTTTGCTTTCAGATGGTTGTTTTGTAGATCTAATGTGCTTTTTACTCAAATTTCAGAACCTAAATGTGTGCAAGCATTAGAAAAGGCAATTGTTTTTTCCTACAAAAAATTTAACACAACACAAAACATTTACAGCAAGGAGTTGTTATTCTCTTCCTGGGGTATAATCAACCTCCCAATCCAGGCAAAGAAAGCAGGCTCATTGTTAGAGGGAGGAGCTTGGTTCTGCATTCGGGTGTGATCCGGTAACAGCTGTTTCCCTCCAGCTCTGAAAGAGGTGAAAATGTGTTAATCAATGCAAATTGTCTTTAAGCTCTCTCGCCCTAGTCTGTGTGTCTGTGTGTGGGATGGGGTGGGTTATCGGCTTGGGGACAACGTGAATCAGAAATCAGAAAGGTGAGTGTGTGCAGACTCTCGCTTTCAGAAGGGGCTGAGGAGAAATTAGATACGATGGTTCAGGAGACTAAACCACGTTGGATTGGTTTGTCTTCCAGCAAAGCATTTGGGTCTGGGAAGCTAATTCTATTTTGAGAACGGAAAACCTTACAATCTCTTGGTTTCGACGGCTGGGGAATATTTTTTCCGTGTTCCACTGAACGTAAAAATCGGCGTCTGGCAGCCGCTGATTGGTGGAAAAGAAAGTGGTGATAGTGGGGTGGGACGAGGATTTGACGAGCCTCCTTCTGCTTTCTGAACCTGTAACTCTTCCTTACTAGTCTCCTCACCCCCCGCGAGAGACCCTTTCGGGCTCATCCGACATTAAGAACAAACGTAATCTGGAGGGTATTTGGACAAAAGCACCCTTAACGTTGTGTCCTACGGTCAAATTTCAGCGATCCGCGGGAAACGTGCTCTCGGCAGCGCGGGTCCTTGCACCCTCCCGGAGCTGCCAGTCTCCTTAGCAGCTCCCCCGGGGACTGGCTCTGTCCTTGGTGGCTGATCGCTCGCACCCTTTCCCGCAAGCGGGCTCTAACTGGGGGTCCCCGCCGGGAACCATAGGGAAAGGCGGAGGCAGCCAAGGAGGGGGATGGGAAAGAGGGGGGACCAGAAACCCAAGCTTAATGGGCACAAAAGCTTGCGACTGCCTCAGAGGCCCCGGTGACCCCGAACTTGAGGTGAGGCGCAGCGTTCCCCACCCGCCTCCCAGAACCAGACGGGCGGCCGGAGGTGGAGGCACAGCCTTTCCCCAGCCCCCAGCCCCATCCAAGAAGAGGAGTGGGGGGCGCACGGCGGGGAAAGCAGCGAGCGCAGGGAGAGGGGCGGGGAGAGGCGCTGAGAACCCGGCTGCGGGGGCGGCGGAGCCGCGGGAGGAGGAGAAGGAGGAGGAGGAAGGCCGCGACGACAGGAAGGGGACCCGGGCGAGGCAGCGAGCGGCGGAGCGCGGAGACGCGGGCTGAGGTGTGTGCCGGCTCTGGGGCAGACCGAGGGCCGGGCCTGGCCTCTGGCGTCCTTCCTGCTCCCTCCCCGCCGTCCCTTCCCACCCCGGGTCTCTTCCTCTCGAATCCTCCCGTGCGGGGGACGCGGAGTGGCCATTCGACGACAGGTTCGTGGGTTCGCCTCCCACGCCCCCAGCCGCTCGTCGCCGGGTTGTGCTGGCAGCAGCCTCCGCCGGGGACCAGCCCTCTCTCGGTGCCGCCTCCGCCCTTCCTGTGCGCTCCTCATCCTCCCAATTTCCACTTAAATAATACTGGGGAATTGTTTCTAATTTTTTATAAAGGAGAGGCGGGGGAGGGGAGGAATCGTAGTTGTGAGGAGCAGAGGGACCCAGGTAAGTACCTGTGGATCTAGACGGGCAGCTTTGGAGCTCGGGAAGAAACCTGGTGGGAAAGGAGTGCTGCGGGCTCCGGGGAGGAGGCTGGAGCTGCCGTGAGGACCCGTTGCTTTAGGGCTCTCGGAGGAGGGTGCTTGTGCTCCCTTTGGTTAGCTCGAGGGAAGCCCAGTTGACCTGGCTGCCCTCCTGCCCCCGATATTCCCCTCTTCTCGTCCCCAGCGGCTCAGAGGTCAGGCTGCTTTTCCGGGATACGATCTTCCTTCGGGAGAAGCGAGGATGCTTGAAGGAGCGTGAGCTTCCAACTTTTATTTGTCTTACCTTACATCCCCCCAGTCCGCCCTCTTGGTTTTCTCTATAATCAAAGCAAACTGCGTTTGGCAAATACTTCAGTGGAAGTGCAGGGAGGTCAAGTCAACAGGTGGTAAGGGGTTAACAGGTGTGGGCGCCGGGTCTGCGCGCTGAGAACTGCCCCTCCTGTGGCGGGCGCGCGTCGGGTAGCTGCTCGGGGGCGATGGACGACGGCGGGGGTGAGTGGTCCGGCAGATGAGGGCAAGTGAGGGTGGGCTTGCTGTTGGCTGACGCTAAGCCACACCCAGAGTGAGAAGTTCTCTTCCCTGCCTTCTCCATGACGAGCCTGTTAGCCCTCTTCTGGGATTTGTTTTAAAATTATCCTGACCCCACGCTTCCAGCTCCCTTTCTTTTCCTGTGATCTGTCTTCTAAACTGTACTTCTAACTTACCCTGTCGCTGTTTGGACCCTGGAAAGTTGAAAGAGGGGTCCATCTTTTCAAGCAACTCCACTTCGTAATTGCAGTAAGAACAGCTCAGATGATTCATCCTAATCAGTGCTTAGGCAGCTGGACTTCTACTAGCCAAGATGAATGGGGGATGCTAAATTTTTAATGCAGAAGCTAAAAAAAGCTTCTTTGTCCAGTGGATGAAATAAGAGGACACTTAAAAGATTCTTACACTTTTGGGAGTTATACTGATCTTTCACTGGTTTTTACCTTGGGTGGTTCTAATTTTATTTTGTTTTACCCAAAAGTTCTCATTTAAAGTGTATTTTGTGTTCTCCAGTGTGGTGTAAAGGAATTTATTAGCCATGGATGTATTCATGAAAGGACTTTCAAAGGCCAAGGAGGGAGTTGTGGCTGCTGCTGAAAAAACCAAGCAGGGTGTGGCAGAAGCAGCGGGAAAAACAAAAGAGGGAGTTCTGTATGTAGGTAGGTAACGCCCAAATGTCATTTTGATATTTATTTATGATTGATGGATTAAGATGACTGATGCCCTAAATGCTGGTATTTCTTGCTTGGTTCATATTTGCGTTATCACTTTGTCAAAAGGATGGACTGAGTCAGAGGTAAGTGTGGAAACGTGAATGTGCATGTTTGAGTTAATAGTAAAAAGTGGTGCTAATCGTTCGGTTTTCCAAATTAATTTTTCAGTAATAGTAGGACTTTATTGTTTCTTTTTTAATGAATGTTTCTGCACATAAATGACTATATTTCAGAGGACAGTTTTTAAAACTCAGTCTTCTAAAAAAAATAATCAAGAATAGTTTAAAAATCAAAATCATTCATGGTCCTTTGATTTCTTTTATAATCATGAATATTTTTTGCTAATTGTAGTACGTTCTTATTTTAAAATGACTCTTATATGGCCCTGGGATAGGTAAAAAGAGACATAGGAAAGGACAGAAAAGTCTTTGGTGGAGTTATTCCTTGTGACTACTTGGTTAAAGTGGGGACATAATTGTTCAAGAAAGTGCTTGAGGGCTGCTACTAGTATCTTGAAGACATTTATATAGTTTGTTTATCAAAAGACAGGCATAATAAATAATGATATTGTTGCTTATCATTTCTACTTGTTCCTAAATTCCCACCTTGGAGCATTCATGTGGATCTTGACCCTCTTTTCCTTATCTTGAACTGCATTTGATTGTTATTTTACAAACCACTTCAAATTCTTTGTGGTAGTAGTAGACACATGCATGCACATTCATCCACAGGGACACATGCACCCATAGGCACCCACTGCCCATTCTGCTCCCCTGAGTTCTTCTTTGTGTTCTGGTGGGAGGTGCAGCAGTAATAATCACAGGCAGGAGGTGGAGGGCGGAGGATGCTGTGTTTATGCTGGTTGGTGGTGGAAAGCTACACTGTCTCTCCAACGTAAATGGGTGGGAGAAAAGCTATGTTTGGAATTATCTTTATGACTGCTTCTCATATTGTTTTCTCACTGTTTATAGACTCTTTTTATGCTAGCTTGATCTTACTATAAATTAATCTTCAATTAACTTATACTTCATCTTAAAACATATTTACAGAAAATCATTGAATTTTACATTGAGTGTTACAAGAGAAAAAAATTGAGTTAGTTTCAAGTATTTTTGTGACGTGTGAATTATGTCTTTTTAGATGGAATTTAGAATACTGAATCAGTGACATGCAGATAATCGATATCTTTATATTTATCCTCAGCTTTCCAAGTTGTGCAAGGGCATGCTTGCAACTACTTTTGATTTCAGTTACTTTGTGATTTAGGAACTTTAAAAGTTGGTTTTAGGATCCTAATATTCACTCCATTAGTTTGCAGTGAGTCTAGAAAATTTTGAATATTAATTTAATACATCACTCTTTTACAGATGATAAACAGGTTTTATCACTTGGAAAACTTTTTGTTTTCATTGTCAACTATGAGTTTGAGCAAATAAAATGATTTTATTTTTCTGAGATTAATTCTATTATTTGCTCCAATGTTATTATATAAAGTTGAGTTTTATTTGTTTATATATCACATATTTTTAAATCATCTTCAATGTTTGTCATGGTATTTAACACATGGTATGTTCTATAAATTACTTATTGATTATGTTCTAAAGTCTAATTAAACTTTAGACACAGGATTAAACTTTAGAACTCAGACACAGGATTTAGGATGAAAACTGATCATGAGAACACACAGTGGTATCTTTGAGGGGTTGGCAAACTTTATCTGTGAAGGGCTAAAGAGTAAGTATTTTAGGCCATATTTTAGGTCTGTTTCAACTAATCAACTCTGCTGCTTTAGTGTGAAAGCAGCATAGACAATAATTAACGTGATTGTGTTCCAATAAAACTCTACTTACCAAAATAGGTGGTGAGTTGATTTGGCCATAGACTGTATGTCCATTTACTGACTCCTGATAAAGTAAAAAGAACATAGACTTGATATCAGACAAACCTGAATTCTAGCCCAAGTGACACCACTTACTATCTCTAAGATACTGTAGACAAATGCAACTACCTTGCAGGTTTTTCTGAGAATGCCATAATAAAACAACATACAAGTAATAAAGCACACTTACAAAAATTAATGACTATTTTTTAGAGGAGTTTTAGGTTCACAGCAAAATTGAGGGGAAGGTACAGAGATTTCCCATATACTTTCTCTCCCTACACATGCATAGACTCCCCCATTATCGATATCTCCCACTAGAGTGCTACATTTGTTACAGTTGATGAACCTACCTTGACACATCAACATTGCCCCAAATCCATAGTTTATGTTAGGATTTACTCATAATGTTGTACTTTGTAGGGGTTTAGACAAATGTAAAATGACATGTCTTTATCATTATTCTATCATATAGAGTATTTTCAGTGTCCTAAAAATCATCTGTATGCTGCCTTTGTATTCCCCTCCCCAGTCCCCGGCAACCACAGATCTTTCTACTGTCTTCATACTTTTGCCTCCAGAATGACATGTAGTTGAAATCATAAGTATACAGCCTGTTCAGATTGACTTCTTTCACTTAGAAATATGCATTTAAGGTTATTCCATGTGTTTTCATGGCTTTTTGCACTAAATAATATTCCATTTTCTGGATGTTTATCCATTCACCTATTGAAGGACATCTTGGTTTCTTCTAAAGCAATTATGAACACAGCTGCTATAAACATCCATGTGCAAGTTTTGTGTGGAAATGTTTTCAATTCCTTTGGATAAATACCAAGAGGCACAATTTCTGGATCATATGATAAGGATATGTTTAGTTTTGTAAGGACTTATGAAACTGTCTTCCAAAGTGGCTGTACCATTTTGCACTCCCACCAACAATGAATGGCATTTATTGGTGTTCTACACCCTTGTCAGATTTTGGTGTTGCCAGTGTTCTGGATTTGGGCCATTCTAATAGGTGTAGTCATACTCATTGTTTTAATTTGCATTTCTCTGATTATATATGGTGCAGAGTATATTTTCATATGCTTATTTGCCATCTGCACATCTTCTTTGGTGATGTGCCAAGATCTTTGCCCTATTTTTTAAATCAGGTTACTTTTTTATTGTTGAGTTTTAGTGCTTTGTATATTTTGGATAACATTTTCTTCTCAAATTTACATTTTGTAGATAGTTTCTCACAGTCTGTAGCTTGTTTCTCATTTTCTTGATATTGTCTTTACACAGAACAGAAAATTTTAGTTTTAATGAAGTCTGGCCTGTTGATTCATTCTTTCACAATCATGCCTTTGGTGGTGTATACAAAAGTCATTTGCTGTACCAAAGTCATTCAGGTTTTCTCCTATGTTATCTTTTAGTAGTTTTATAATTTTACATTTTACATTTATGTCTATAATCTCTTTTGAATTAGCTTTTTATAAAGAGCGCAGTGTCCGTGTCTATATTCTTTATATTTTTGCATGTAGAAAGCCACCTGTTCCAGCACCATTTGTTGAAAAGTCTTATCTTTGTTGAATTGTATTGCCTTTGCTCCTTTGTCAAAAACCAGTTGACTATGTTTATTTGTTTCTATTTCTAGGCTATTTGTTCCATTGATCTATTTGTCTTTCTTTTGCCAATACCCCACTGTCTTGAATACTGTAGCTTTATATTAAGTCTTGAAGTCAAGTAGTGTCAGTTCTCTCATTTTGTTCTTTTCATTTTTTGGTGCTAATGTAAATAGTGGTGTGTTTTTAGTTTCAAATTCCACTTGTTTGTAAGTGGTTTATAGTGAAGTGATTGGCATTTGCTTATTCACCTTGTATCCTCCAATCTTGCTATAATCAGTTATTAGTTTCAGGAGTTTTTTTTTTCTTTTTTGGTAAATTCTTTTGGATTTTCTATATAGACAACCATGTCATCTGCAAACACAGACAGTTTTATCTCTTCTTTCCCAATATATATGCCTTTTATTTCCTTTTCTTATTGTATTCCATTAGCTAGCACTTCCAGTATGATGCTGGGAAGGACTGGTAAGAGGGGGCATTCTTGCCTTGTTCCTGGTCATAGTAGGAAAGCTCTAGTTCCTTACGAAATATGTTAGCTGTGATTTTTTTTAAATAGACATTCTTTATCAAATTCAGGAAGTTCCCTTACATTCTTAGTTTATTGGGAGTTTTTGTCACAAATAGATGCTGAATTTTGTTAAATGTTTTTAATGCATCTATTGATATGATCATGTAATTTTTCCTTTTCACCCTGTTGATGTGAGGGCTTACTTTAATTGATTTTCAAATGCTGAACCAGCCTTGCATACCTGGGATGAATCCCATTTCATCATGGTAATAAATCTTATATATTGTTGGATTTGATTTGCTAATATTTTATTGATATTTGTAAAGCACGTTTTTATATCCAAGATTCAAATAAGCTCTCCAACAGAATAATTATTTTGCCAACATATTTTCTTTTTATCTTCTAATTCTTCATTACAAAAACTACTATCAATAACTTGAGTGAAAAACTGGAAATGACTGAAGAACATTTTCTTATTTCACTATGACTGAAGTCTTGGCACACTGTTTTCATAAGCCTAATGAGGAAAGTAATCTCATTCCTTTATAATGTTGTACTTTTGGCAGCTATCTTCTAACTAATTTGAGAACCACTATAAGAATCAATGTCTTTTTTGATTTTTTCTCCTTTTATTATATCTTTGTACAGAAATTTTCAATCTATACACTTCAATTTAATAGACAATGATTTTCTCAGTCAAATGGCTCAGAAATTATAAACTGAGAGTCAGATTGAAAGGGAGAAAACATTTAGTTTTCTTTTTATAATGCCAAGTATTTTAACAGTACAAGCAAGGAAGTGATTTTTAAAACTCTTCCAATGCCATCTTGCTGAATAAGCAGCAGTGGTCATGATGTGTTTGATATCAAACTCTCAAATCACAGTATGCTTCACTTGCACCACGTTAAGAAAGTCAATATGCACAACAACAGGATGGTTGAATTTTTGCAACTCCCAGGCATTACTTCTGACCTTCTCTACTCTGTAGCCTTATGCAGTCATGAGAGATAAGATGGGATAGTTGTGGGCCACCTCAGCTCAGGGAAACCATCGTCTATGGTGTTCCTTCAACTTTTATATCTTACCAGTCACATAGCTACTTTGCACCTATATATTTTCAATTACATATTATTCCTTAGCTAAATGTTAATCATTAATTACAGATACCAATAAACAGTTGACAGCAAGCAGTAAGTGATTGTGTCAATATGAAGCAACTTCATCAAGAGTCTCATTTATCTTTGATTCAGGATGTATTCTATGATCGAGTCAAATGCCAAATCCTTAGGTACTGCTGAGGCAGAAAGACCAGACATCTACAGTTAAACTTTCCTTTTTACTAGTTATTTTTTAAAATGAGATGCAAGCAGTGGCAGGTGGTTAGTGATAAGAAATACTCTCTTACATGTAGTCTGTTTTCCACTTGCCTACTTCCAGTATATAAGAATTTCAGTTGCTACAGTTATATATAACACCAGATCCTTAAAACACAGTTCAAATTTTTTTTACCACAGTACATAAACTGTGATTGTTTACATAAAGTGCAAACGTGCCTCCTTGCTCTTAAATCACTACGTAATAACCGAAACCCATTATAATCCGTGATCAGATCACAGCAGTTCTTTCGGTTTGTCAGCGATTGACTGATGCCCATCTGCTGTTCAGTTCAGACAGACAGCTAAGCTGGCACTCGTGTTGCTTCCTTGTCTCCCAGTGATAAACACTTGTGGTATTTTGCAAAAATGCATAATTAAAAGAAGAAATTGGTCAAAATAGGTGAAAGTGCAGCAAAGAAATTAAGTGAAAAATGCTGGAAATAAAATTTGAATCAAATATACATTTATTTAACAGATAGCTATGGGAATGTTGACACCGCTACCATTCAGAAGACTCTAGAAATGTAGCCAGAGGAGCTTACTGAAGGTGATGTAAATACCTGGAAAAAGCAGTTCTGATAAATCAGGTGAAAATGTCCCAGAGGAAATACTGCTGCAAAAATACCTCACATTAAGGGAGTTATCAGAGATACAGCCTGACATTAAAAGTGTAAAAGGTAACATTATGTAAACATACAAACTTAAAAGGAGTATGACAATTCTCTAAGACTTAGAAAAGGTGCCTGCTCCATACAGGAAATTATACAATGAGAAGAAACAATCATTGTTTAGACTACTCTTGAAAACTTCTTTTACAAAGAAATGAAACACTTCAGTTCTCAGTGTCTCAAGTTACAATATATTAAGTATTAATTTTGCTAGTTTTCATTTCCTTATACATTTATAAACGTCTAAGAGAATTTTTAATGTTTCAACAAATTTTAAAGGTCATGAAAAAATCGTAAGTTTTACCACTGATGAATTATAATTTTCCTTATTGATTATCAAGATCAATTTCCACATCTTCAGCTCAGCTTGTGTGTATTGATTTTTTGATCCCACAGTACTACTCAAAATGAGCATTGACAGCAAAATATACACATATGCTTGCATTCATACACACACACACACACACACTCACACGACATCACATATACATGAAACGCTATCCTGTATCCTTTAACATATTTAACAACTACATGATTTAATTTATATGAATTTATGATTCAGTGATTTGTCCTGTATTTTAAACTGCAGACTCCTTTATATATATTATGTGTGAAGAATAACATATAATATACTGAGTTAAAATAACACTATTTTAACACCTTTACATGTGTTTTTCCTTTGATCTTCATGTTGACCAAATGATGTATATTCGCTTATTATGTAGTGAAATAAGGATTTAAATACAGAAAATCTAATCCAGAGCCCACATTCTTAACCAAAAAGCTATAGTTTATTTTGTTTTGTTTTCATTGGCTGTCCTTAAATATATTCAAATTCAAACTTCTAAAATATATTTAAATTGTTTCATTAAATGTAGAAAGTTTTCTTAACTCTTTTATAAAACAAAAGTTAAATATGATACATGCAAATTTGGCTTAATGCCATATTTATATATCTTCATAAGAATATTAAATGAACATTTTCAAATACATGATCCTGTATATTTACTTAGATCATCTTATTGATCATAGTATTAAAATCATAGATATGTACTTATAAGTTTTAAATAAGTTTGAAACTAGAAACTGTTACAGACTAGTGTTTCTCAAATTTGATCCATGAATTACCAGAATTAGATCATGAAGATTATTAAAAATGCAATATTTGTATCTGATATTTGCTGAATATTTGAGGCTCTGACTCTATAGTCAACATTTTTAACCAGTGCTCCCATCCAACTAATTCTGCTTCATGAACTATCTAAGGACTAGTTCTTAGAGATTATTCAATTAATCATATGTATTAATTTGACTGATAAGGAAAAATTGGAGCTCCCTTGTACTATTTTCATTTGTTTTAAAAAGTGTTTACTGTTATTCCAAACATACTCAGTAAGGGTTTTTAAAGCTTAGAGTATTTTTAAACTGAAGATTGCTATCTTAATATCCAAATATATATTTAAATAATTTCCCAGTTATTATGTCCTCATTTTCTTATGTTCTATGTTGAAAGAACTACATTATTTGATTTATAGGGTAGTTTTCAAATGATTTGCAAGTCCATTTTTATTTTCTCTGAAAACATACTTATTAAAAAACTGGTGTGAATTACACTGAAAAAATCAATATTAGAAAGCTTATGAATAAAATTGGTAAGCTTAGTTTTAATAATATATATTAATTATTTATATAAGAGTTATTAATGGTCAAGATTTGGAGTAAATTCCTATCTTTCCTCTTCTTGAAGTCAGCATTAGTAACAGTTGAATGTTAAAGTACTTTATTCCTTTCAAAGGTTTGCCTGGCTTAGTGGAAGGAATGTGGGTTTAGGATCATAGAGAACTTAATATGAATGTGCTTGTAAGATAGTTATTACCTATGTGACTTTAGATGCGGCATTTAACTTTGATTTGCAATTTCTTCATGTATAAAATGGACATAATACACTTTGTTAAATGGATGTTACAAAGATTAAAATGAGATAAGGTGTAAAATGTCTTTTTCATAATAGGTGTTCAACAAATGTTAATTCCTTCTTTCCCCCTTCTATTTGTGTTTCATGGGTTACCTAATCTCTCTGTCGTACTGTACTTCTGCAAAGTTTCCACAGTTCTGAATCCAAAATCATCTTCCCACCCAGCACCAGTGTTATCTCACCTCTTTTTTTCCTCTGTAAGTTGATATGTGAAGTGGGACACAAGGGGATAAAAAGCCATTGCTCTGTGCTAAAATATTAATTAGAAAGAACCTCCTGTTAGCTGTGCTTTCTTCTATTTGTTGTACTGATAACTGGATTTCCTTGTTTAGGTTTTTTGTCCCTGGATGGTATCTTCACATATGGGCTTCTGAAGATTGAGATATATTTTTGGATTAGTTGTATTTAGAACTAGCTAACCAGCAATATAAGGCTAGTTTGAGATTTATGTTTTGAATTTGTTTGTTTTCATAGGCTCCAAAACCAAGGAAGGAGTGGTTCATGGTGTGACAACAGGTAAGCTCTGTGGGGCTTATATGCAAGGATGATATTGAAAATACCTAGTAAGCAATCGTCCGTACGTTGGTCACTCAGAATGTAGTTGTCAACAATCACTGTGCCCATATAGGGACATTATAAGCGAATGTCAGCTTTGTTTAACATCACTTCTTTATTAAATATTTTTAAATAGGTAAGTATTTATGATAAATAAAACACAATATATTTAACTGTAATGAATAATGGTTCTAAATTGACCGGCTCAATTTAATTTACAGAAGTGTAACATATTGAATATTTTGATCAACTTTATGGTTTGGCAAACTGCAAGCACAAATTATATGTAAGGATTGCCATTTTTCAAAGGTTTGATGTAAAATTTTCTGTAGAATACAATAAAATATTCTGACTTTAAATTTTATTAATGACATATAATTGACTATATAACATAATTGTATTAATTATTTATAATTAATTCCTTGATGATTCAGAAGACATTTTAGGAAACACCCTTGGAATGATCAGTAAAGTGTTTATTGTGTTTGTCTCTGTTTGGCCTAATTTCTCCAAGAATTTGAATAGGTCTATAAGAAAATTACAGCAAATAAATAGCAAAAATCATGAAAACTATGGTGGTGATGATGGTAATGATGAGGACAACAGTGATAGCAATAGAAAAATTCAAAGGAGGACCAAAATCTAAAATCTTAAGAGCCCACAGACTTGCTATGATTGAATTCCATGTTGGGGATACACCAGGCTTCCTGACAGATGTGGTAAAACAAGACATATAATCCGAAAAATGATTCATTTGATCAGAAAACAGTACACAAATAGTGCCTCAGTAAAACAACATGTTCTTAATACTGAATTATATAATAGAAATGGGGAAAATCAAATAGAATTAATACATTATTGTGGTTGAAATCATGAACACTGAAGCCAGACTTCCTTGGTTCAAATTTCTACTTACTCCTTACTAACTGTGTGATTTTCTTCAAGATTCATATGTGATTTAGTTTCCTTGTCTATGCAAGAATTAAGTGAGTTAATATATGCAAAGTACCTAGAATAATGAAGACAAATACTGTGTTACCAGGTATTACTTATTATCACTTTATAGTGGATCTGTCTTGAGTAAAATTTTTTGCAGTTGATGGAGAAATATTCATATAAACTATTTTATACATATTTTTTATAAAAAGTGAGGGTGTAAAATTAAAACAGAACCCTTTGAACATGATTCTGTTAGAAGCTAAGTTAAAGTATGCAGTTTACATTCGCTCTGTTGCAATCCAAGAACCAGGCAAGTATATGGTCTGTGTTGATTTATAGGTACCTTCTATAAACATGATGCCATTAAACATGATTTTAATAAGAACTGGCTAGCAGAGAGTTGGAAACTCTACCATCTGATGGACCTACCTAGGTTAATGCTGTTCCATTTGATAGTTGAAGAAACCATGTGGTTTAGAAAGCAGAAAAACATGTGGTAAGGTTTAGAGTCCATGTTGAAAATTAAAGAAGACAACTAATATTGTCATCTAATGGAGTCTCTGGAGATGAGTTGCAAGATCTGCTGACAAAGTCAGAGGTTTTGAGTCTTCTCCAGAATGACACTGTAAACATGAGATTTGTATGTGTGCGCGTGCACACGTGCTGCACCTGCAGGAATGCTGCTGACATTTGTACAAGAAGGTGGAGTTTTATAAAATGTTTTTGGGAGAAGAGTCCATCAGCTTATGTTTCCATGGCTTTATAATGTTGGGAAACTTTACATATCATATCTTCCTTTTAGCATGTTAAAGAATCTGAGATGCCCTATAGTAATGAAATGTGCGTAATTTAGTTTAATGCATGGTTTCTCAAATTTATTTGACCTTCTTTCAGTAGTTAACTGGTTTGAATAAAACTAGTGTTCAAAGAGTTCTGTGGAAGATGCTGCCAAGCATCTAGGCCATGATGTTTTTGGTGTGGGCAATATTTACAGCCATTGTACCAAAATCCACTCTGGCCGTGGTAAAATATCAAAAATCTCATAAATAGACTGGATATGAGAAATGTGCTTGAATAAATCAGCAATAAACACCATCCTTCTCCCATATCAGATAAATGAATTAATTTGTTCAGCAGGGTTATTTAATGTAAAATTCCAAATTACAATTATAAGGGTAAATAAATTTAAGATAATTACCTCAGTGGTTAAGGAGAGGGAGAATTGGTTGCTTATTATGTTTGGTCTAAAATGTTTATTATGGGTATATAGTTAGCATTGAATAAGTGTTACTTATTGTTACTAGTCTTAAAACAAGGAAGCAAGAAACTGCTATATGATACCTAACATTGTCAGCTAATGTTAAAAGAAAAATTTCCCCGAGACTCATCCCATTACCTATTTTTGGAGAAATATAGACTTCAGTAAACTTAGTTAGGCCAGGAGTTTGCTACCTAAAAAATTCAACAAATATGAATTCTCCCAGTTAGTAATCTCATGATAAAAATCAAGAAAACTCTATTTTAAGTCCTGGCTTTTCGATGTCAGTACATTATTATTGAGATTCTCACTGTAATGAATCAGGTTATAGAAAAATATGACAGTGTATTTGATATGGACTTACTGAATTATATGTCTATGATGGCTCCTTAAAAAATGTTAATATAAGTTTACTTATTTTTTCTTTATGAAAGTATGGTGTAAAGAAGTTCCTATTGGATATTTTCTGAAGGTTTTGATTCTTATAAGCAAATTTATTACATGATAATGAACAGAACTACTTTTTAATGTTTTAATTGATATTTATTATATTTAGAATATTCTTATTTTCCTCAAATTTATAATCTGTATAACTATTCAGAGCTAGATCTTCTTAATTTTATAACTGTGTTTAGTGGCAAAGGTTAGATTTAGTGTATCTGTTCTGAAAGTTGTGCCAGATTTCATTCTGGAATTTTATCGTAACTGGAGTCAAATATAAAGTTAATGTATAAATTATAGAAATTCACAAAATTCCTTCTAATCCATTCAAAATTATTATCTATTGTAAAATAATTAAAGAAAAATGAAACATCTATGACTCAAACTGGTAGAGGTGAATGAACATACTGAGAAGTGAATAATTACAGGGAAATGGATAACATTCAATAGTAGAGGTATAATATCTAAAGTTTTGTGGGTTCACAGGAAGAGGAACAAGGATACTTGTTAGGAGAAGTATTTAACATGGAACTTGATTTTCATGCTGGGTTTTAACACCAGCTTGTATTTGCCAAGTAAACAGAGAAAAGGAAATCTGAGAGAGATCAAGGCTCTGGCCAGATGGAGCTATATGAGCCCAAATGGGAAAGACTGGCTTATATGTGGGAAAACATAAGCGAGTTAAAATATTATACTATCAATTGCTTGTGAGGAAAGCATCCATTTTGATTCCGGGTGTAAGGAGTTTTCCCTTAAAAACAGAAACCATTTGTTAAATGCAAAGTATCCGAATTTGAGTGTGTGTCCTTCCCTTTTGTTGGCATGCTTTTGTTTGGGATGTCAGTGAACAGAAAAACAGTATAAAAAGCTTTAGCAGGGAAACATAGGGGTACAAAGTCAGTGAATAATCCACTAGATAAATCAAGTCCTACAGAAATGTTTCAAAATGTGTCTTATTGCTACAAGTACTCTGTCATTTTGTAATGTAACTCATTTACTTACTCCTACAATGATAAAACCTAATGAGATTATAATGAGTACAAAGTGTATTCTGCTGTGCAGTTTATGAGCATAAAAAATAAAGTATGTACATATATATATAAAGAATTGTCTAAATATTGTAAAAATAAATTTTCATAGCTGGCAAAAAAATTATGAGTGCGAAAAGATCAAAATTTATTTTTGTCTTTGAGACTTTTGTAACAAGAAATGTTCATTTTCAAGCAAAAGTTTCTATTCATGTTCTTGGAAAAGTAAAAAGAATGACAAGTTAAAGCCCATAATTCACTGTTTGCAAGATTAACATTCTATAACTGTTTAAAAGCATCAAATTTCCAGTACACTTTTCATTGGCATTTAAATTGAACTTTGCATTGGAAATAACCATTTCTTGTTCAGAGACATCAGCCATATCCCCAAAAGTGGCAAAAAGCCAATATTAAGTAACACCTGCTGTGGACTCTTCCTGGTTTTAGGTTCTAAGGCCACTTCAGCTTTCCAACATTGCCTAGGACTGAGGAACATGCTTCTTTATCCATATAGACCACCATACCCAAGTAGTCTGTTTGAAACCCAATTGTTGTATCCGAACTGTTCAATCATGTGGCATCTCCCAACTGATGGCATGAAATCTGTTCAGTAATGTGACTAACATACAACACTTAACACTTAGCAGCTGACAATGGTATCTCCTCTGTTCCTCTGGCTGGGACTTATCTGGAGAGGATGTTTACCAGCATAAAGCATAGTGAAAAACTGTCTTTATTTGCTTAGGACCTGAGGAAGAATATCACTCAAAACCAAGTTCATGAAATGTGGGGAAAAAGCAGACAAAAAATGAATTTGGGAGCACAAAAGAACCAAAGGCAGGCATTACACAGATATAGGTGAGAGATGCAAAACGAGGCTTTATGGATATAAATGTTAAAACGTTTAGAGAAAGGAGGATGGTTTTGTTCCTCCACCTTGAAATGGACCTTGAAATAATTAATAGAGCAGAATCTCTTGTATTCTGCTGCTTTTTCATAGAATGCTTCAGTTAATTGAAACAAACTTTTTTATTGGAGCTTCCTTTATTTGGAAATTGCATAGAGGTAATATAGAAAGATTAATTCAGCAATTATATTGGATGTGGTCTTGGAGAAGTTTTGATATGATATTCAATCTCTGCTTCCAACTCTAATCCCAAACAGTTTACACCGTCTTCTCTAAATTTTTAATTATTTATTTATAAAAATCAACTGAGTCACCATATTGTATTTTGTTTTATGCAACGGAATTGTAAGTGTGCTCAACAAACCTCTTCATTTCCATACTTTCCTTAATGTCTAGCTATATTGTTCTCATTATAATTATTGAAAGTCAGTCTCATTGTTATAAACCCTTCTGTTTCATACCTGAAATTTTACCAAAGGACCAAAGTTCTTTCATAGCCATTCCTTACTCTTATTAGTACCTGATGGTCACATGTATGAGCACATATGTGTTGTGTGACTCAGAAGAGGTGGTGAAAATGAACATGCCAAATGAGTTCAAAGAATTGGCATTGGAATTGAAATAAAGAAATAAATTGTATGCTGAGACTGATAACATTACAACTGCGCCTGTGAGTATTGCTTTCTGTAAACTTTCCTTAATAAGATGTAAGTTAAACCCAAATCACTCAAGGCTCTAAGTTTGTGATCATTTAAACTCGAAGCACCTTTTAATATCTGCATGCTTATAACAAAATGTTTTATCAAAGACTCCAGTTCACTTAGAAATCTCCATAGCTTTTATTTTTGCTGACTCTTCAATTATCTTTATAAATACAGGTCTTTACAAGTTGAAATTTGAATGTAAAATTATTTTAACTTGTTGTTGTTCCACTGTCCCTTATCTATTTTTTCTTGATTTATCCCAGTGGCTGAGAAGACCAAAGAGCAGGTGACAAATGTCGGAGAGGCAGTGGTGACAGGGGTGACAGCAGTAGCACAGAAGACAGTGGAGGGAGCAGGGAGCATTGCAGCTGCCACTGGCTTTGGTAAAAAGGAGCAGTTGGGCAAGGTAGGGTTGCACACATTTTTATGTTAATTTGTATGCTTTTGAGATCATGGTGTATTTGCTTATTTGGGGGAAGGGCTGACTGACCCTCCCTTCGTGAAAAGTACTACGTTTATATGTGTATTCCTTTGGAGGTATTAACCCAGATACATGCCTTGAATATTGTATAGTAATCATGGTGGTTTCCTTTTCTGGAAGAAAGTTAGTGAAATGAACAATACATTAAATGCCAAAAAGAACTGTGACATTTCAGGAAGAATGGGTGCTTTCATATTAGCTATGAATCTTGGAATTCAATAAAGAGTGGCGCAGTTCTTCCTTGGGATATAACACATGCTTTGTGCCCAATCTCTAAATTTTCAAAAGGAAGATCTTATACTTGATTTCTTTGTAATGACATCATCTCTTACTAAGTGGCATAACTCCTGTCACATAGCACTTCATTGCCAAATATGTGTGTGTGGCAGGGGGTGGAGCTGAGAGAATTAAACTGCATACCAACCAGAGATCATGAATTTGGGATGATTTTAAAATTCTCAGAAGAATTTTAACTTTGGATTTCTTAATAAATATGGTACTCTAGTAAGATTGTGCAAGAGATATTATGACTTCCACTTTACACAGATAAGTAATAGTACATAGGTGTCAAATGGATGAAATTTTACAAATTCTATGACCTCAGCAGCAGAATGCTTTTACTTATTCCCTATCACAATGGCCCCCTTGCTAGTTCTTGAACAAATCCCTTGTTGAAGCATACCCTTGCCCTGGCTTCTCCCTCTGTCTGGAAAGCTTTTTTCCAAGATTGTATATTTACTTCCTCATCTCCTTGGGTCTTGAGTTAAATGACACCTTCTCAGGCCTATCCTGATCTATATGAAACTGGAACCATTTTCAGCTCGGGTATTCTCAGTCTCCCTAGTCTTTTTTTCCCCCTTTTTTTGCCAAAACACTTATCACCTTTAAAATAATAAGTAACTTACTTATTTTTTATGTATATTTATTTTATTTTTCCCTCCTAAAATATAAACCCCATGAGGGTGGAATATGCTTATTTTGTTCACTAGTATTTCACAAGCATCTAGAAAAGTGCCTAACCCATATAGGCAATTAAGGAACGTGTATTCAGGAGGAAAGGAAGGAAGTAAGTGAGTAAGTAGAGTGATTTTGATTTCTGTGTCTTTAACAATTACACATGTAGTATAGCAACCATAAGAGCTATATATATTCAGCCATCCAACAGTTACAATGAACGTAGTTGTAGAATAGATGTCCTGAAAACTGTAAGAATGTGGCTTTATTTGCTGGCAAACTGCTCTGTATTGTTTCCATGCATATAATCTTAGGTAGCAGGCCTACCTACGTAGATCATTAGGACATTAGTACTAAAAAAGCAGGACTTCAAACCTATGACATATTGAAACTGATTATATGTAGTTGTGTTGTTTGGGACAACTGATTCTCATTATGGAAAATCTGGACTGGACTTCTGGTGTTCTTCAGCTAACACTTGAATTTATGGTTGATGATAGTAGTATGCCTTTGTGGAGAATATATTTTTCAAATAATCTTACTAGTTCTACTAATCATTATACTAATTCCTGTTTTCCATCTGAAATTATAATTGCATTCATAGCTTTATTACATTTCAAAAGTGTGGAGGGACCTTAAATATTTGTACAAAGGCAAAAACCTGTTTTGTCTCCCAGACATTTTTGCCAATATTATAGAAGCTATGCTCCCTTTTCCCAGAAAAACACGCATTCACATACACACACCAAGGGCATTAGTGGCAACCTGGCAGCCCATCAACAGACAGAGCCCATGATTGAGACCAAATCCCTGATTGTACAGATGAAGAAAGTGAAATGTACAGAGGGGAAGTAGGAGGGTCAAAAGGCCGATTGTAATAGACTGAATACTAGTAGGGCTTTCTCACTACTGTTACTTCCCCAACTACTTCCTCAAAACCTACCTTCCTTTTGCATTTATGTGAACTGAACTGTGGACAAACAGATTTAACTGGAAAAATTCTTTGCTTCAGAATACAAAGAAACCAGACAAACACTTGCCATCCCCTTCTTGCCCCCATTTAAGATGTATAATACAAATTGTAAATAAGGTAGGAGAGTGCTGCATTACTTAGAAAATTGGGCTTATTTTTTGCCCTTCTAAAAATATTGCTTTTTTAAAAAGTGTTTTAAAGCAGAAATCTAAATTTTGTGATAAAATTAACCGTATGGAGCTATTTCTCTTATGGGTACTTATAGGTTCTTCTAACTTTCTAATAGGAAAATGAAGCTGTAAAACTGAGAAACTGAAACATAGTTATAGGAAAAAAATTGAACTGGGAGTTTAAATGGTTGGTTTTCATCCCTTCTCTGTCACCAATAGGCTGAATGACCTTTCAAAGATCTCCTAAAACTCTTTCTCACACAATGAGGGAACTATGCTAGAAAATCATTAAAACACAGGTTAGCAATAAGGTTCAGAGTTTCTATAATATCTCAAGGAAGACACTAATAAACTTTCATTGTAACCACATCTATGGGATGCAGAACTTCTAGATAATTTAAATAAAGTCATTGAATCTGTTCTTTATGAAATTTTAAGTAATTTGATTTCATCATGCAAACCGATCAAAGTGAGTCTGGTGAGTGGAACTAAACAATGTATTGCTGCTTAACCAATTGTTAATGACCCCATCAAGACATTCACTCTTTATTCAAGAAATAATACTTGCTCATTATGTGCCGGAAACTTTGCTAGATATTGAGGTTAAAATGATGAGAGAACTGTACACTGTTTTCCTCTTCATTGAGCATATTTATAGTCTAGTGACAAAGATCAGTAATAATCACCACACAGTAAGTGTGTAACTATAAACTGTGCTAAATGCTTTTGGGTGCATAATGCTGAGAATAGCTAAGAGCTGGCTGACCTAGCTAATGTGGGGTAGGGGTAATGGAGGGCTATCACAAAGGCTTTCTGGAGGAGGTGATGTTTGAGCTGAAAACTTAAAAATGACTGGCAGTTAATAAACATTAAGTAGGAGTTAGTGGAAAAGCACCCCAAGCAAAAGCAACAACATGAGGAAATCTCATGTGGTAGGAGGGGACCCTGGCAAGACAAAGAGGGCTGCAGCTGGAGCCCGAGAAAATAAGGAGCACGAGGCTGCCAAGGTGTGCAGGGCCACACTGTGGTCAGTCATGTTGAGAATGTTCGTCTTTGTTCTAAGAATAAAGGAACTGTTAAAGCATTTGAAGCAAGAATGTCAGGTTATAAGTTTGCATGTTGAAAAGATATCTCTGAATACAGGGCAGGAAACAGATTAAAGGGAGGAAAAGTGGAAACCAGGGACCAGTTTGCTGGGCTGTGATGGGACGAAGACATTGCATAAACTAATGTGGGGGAATAAGAAAGAAACGGATCCATTCAAAGACTATGTAGGAAGTATATCAACAAGATTTGCTGATGCATTTCATGAGTCTTGCAGGAAGAGGAATGTGATTATCAGGGCTATTGGATGTTAGCTTGTTGAAGTGGATTAATGGATTAATGGCTGTGCCATTCTCTTGGTGGCTGGTGCCTCTCTTGAATATCAGGAATGCTGCAACAGGAGAGGCAGCATTGGTGTTCAGGCTCATGCCCTTTGAGGGCATTTGGCTCATCTACCCTTGACGGATGAGGGGACAAATATCCCCTCCCTCCCTCCCTCCTTCCCTCCTTCCTTCCTTCCTTCCTTCCTTCCTTCCTTCCTTCCTTCCTTCCTTCCTTCCTTCCTTCCTTCCTTCCTTCCTCCCACCCTTTTGTGTTTTCTTGGTTTGCTTTTTTTAAAACAAAAAATTCTAGTAGCTCATTTCTGTTTTTCTCTTTTTTTATTTGCTAAACGTATCTCTGGGAATGCTTTTTTGGTGTACTCTACCCTCTTTCGATGTTAGCAGAGAGGATATGACCATAGATACCTGAGTGTTTTGTGAGTTTGAGCATATGAGTGAAGCCACCCTTAGTGAGAATATCTAATTATAAGACATTAAAGGACACTAGGATGTCCTGAATTTAAGAATTTGTTTCATCAAATATTATTAGCTTCTTTATTTAATACATCAGAAGAATACATCTACTGATCTGTATGTTTGCCTGTGTGTACATAAGAGGTTATCAGCCATGCAGTGACACAGTGTTCCTGTGTTTGATTGGAACAGCAGAAACAGGCTGCAGATGCATTGGCAGAGGCATTCAAGTTTTAGTTTAAATAAACAGTGATGTTACATAGATAAATTTATGTTTCGTACTTATGTTGAGAACAAACTGTTTGTACCAAGAATATTATAAAAGAAAGTAACTTAAGATAGTGCATCTATGTTTACATATATAGCTAGTCACTAGAACATGTGTTCCATTCTAACTCCTCAACAGTATTTTGCCTGTGGTTACTGCTTAGGGAAACCCTGTGAACAAATGCACGTTTCTTTAATTTTATCTGGAATGCCCTAGAAGGGCTGGATCCTCAGTGTTCCTGATGTCCATGTTTTTGTAATTTTCAGGATTTATAGAGTGAAAGTTTTGAATGAACTATAAAGCTACTGGCTGACAGATAGTATATCAGTCAGCTTCATTATCACATCCCATGTAGGCACTGACCTATCTACATGCAGATTAATAGATTTGGTGCAAGAAATAAACTGGAAATTTTTATAAGCTCAGATACTTGATATACTTAGTTCATATGTAAATTTTTTCTTCAGAATCAGAATGAATTTCTGATGGAGAAACTAGATAGGATTATAAGCAATTTGGAAAAATTAGATCAGATTATAAACAATTTTTGCTGTTTCCATCAGTTACCCAGAAAATGTTGATTTCAAATGGATAAAAGCATTTATACTCTGTAATCTTGCCTTAATTAATAGGAAGATAGCTAACCAAGTTTGTGCTAGATGAATAAAAGCCGGAATGAAAAATGTCAGGTTTTAAATTATGGTCTACAACATTTAAACGTA